AAGAGAGTTTCCTCCTCCTTCCTTCCTTGATATCTTATCTCATTAGTCTCATTACTAGGCTAAACAGGGCTGAGTAGCTGTCAACTGTATGTTTTCCATTAATTGCTTAAGTCAGGAGGAGTAGAAATGCCCATCATTTGCTGGATTCTTGGCATTTCGTTTATGATAGTAAACTTAATATTTTGCGTTTTTTGTTGTTTGAACACAAACAAGCATTTTGAAGAAGTCATCTTTGGCTCTGGGAGTAAGGAAACAATTGACTGACAAAGTATTGAAGCAGAATAAAAATCAAATTTATGAAAATAATTGTTAGTTGCAGCCTTTAGTTACTTCCCACCAGTCCCACATGTTGTGCTCCCAGTGACTAGAACATATGATAAAAGGAGACAAATGAAATCACAATTTCCAATCATGATTTTGATTACAATTTAACGAGTGCAGTTCTTTCAACACTTTACGGTTGAAGTCTGTTTCTATAAATAATCAAATTATTAAACTGCACAAATTTAAAGGCTATTTCTGCAGACTTTCAAGCTATTCTAAGGCCTTTCTAAGTAGTGTTATTATAAAGTTCACAGTAGTTTTAGCTGTAGCTCAAGTATAAATACATTCTAAATGAATAGTGTTGTTAATATGCACTCTTAGTGTGGAGCTCAGCACCAGCCTAGCTCCTATTACTTGGACATTACTCTGATAATCTTGTCTCATGAGCGTGTGAGCCTGTATTTGGTTTCTGCTCTTCATAGATATCAGACAAAGTAGCCCAGCAGTGTTTGTGGTTTTGCAGTTTTGAAGTAGATAGGGTAGCCTCACCAGAGGAACCTGTGAGCTAAGACAGTTGTTAATGAGTGGAGTTGATTTGGGGAAGCTAAAGCTGTGTAATCCTCTGTATTTATGCTGGTCACAACCAGCCTCACCGTGAGATCTAACACTCTTGCAAAAATGGTTGATTTAGCGTTCAGTAGTAAACTTTGACAGATTCAGTTTTGCTATAATTTATAGTCATTTCTGTGGATTAAAGAGTGGAATGATAAAATGTGCTGAATGATCTGCTGTTTGGACTGTCCAAACGACAAATGTTGATCTCCAAATCCCAGTCCGTTCTCACCCTTTCAGTGACTCCCTCCACTCCTACGACTGGAAGGATGTCCCACTACGGAAAGACCTTGATTCTGAGAGGAAACTTTATAGCAGGCTCCTGGGCCAGAGAGCCATGACATGGAAGTGCCCACTAGAGGAGCAACATGCAGATGTGCTTCTGTTTCAGAGGGTTTCCTTCACAGGAACTGTGTCCTGTCTGTACCCTCTCAATCACCCCTCACTGTTGTCTTTAGAAAATGCATTGATTTCTTATTTGCTGCAGAAAATATGAATTCTACATTTCTAAAGAGCTTGTTATTTGTATATTATCTTGCCAATGCCCATCACCCCGTTGTATTTGTTCTACAGTGTCCTGTTATTGCTGCAATCATGTGAAACATGAAGTTACAGAGTTGTAG